AATCTCCAAAGAGGAGTATACCTCCTCTGCTCGGGCCTGCAGGCGGGCTGTTAGGAAGGCCAAGGCGGAGATAGAGCTCGGATTAGCGTCCAGGATTAAGGATAACAAAAAGTCCTTTTTCAAATATATTGGGAGGATGAAGAAGGCGCCGGGTAATGTGGGGCCCCTGCAGGATATGCGGGGCAATCTGGTGGTTGCGTCAGAGGATAAAGCGGACCTCTTTAACCAATTCTTCACCTCCGTTTTCTTGTGCAGGGACCGGGACTTCCCTGCTGTGATAGAAGCCGGACGCGAGGGGATCGCCTTCAGACCTCAGGTTGGGGAGGACCGGGTTAGAGAGCTTCTGGAGGGGCTGGACGCGTTCAAGTCAGCGGGTCCGGATGCTCTCCACCCCAGGGTGCTGAGGGAGCTGGCTGGGGTTATTGCAGGGCCCCTGGCACGGCTCTACGAGCGATCGTGGTGCTTGGGCCAGGTGCCAGACGATTGGAAGGTAGCTAATGTGGTCCCCATCTTCAAAAAAGGGAAAAGGGAGGACCCGGGCAATTATAGGCCCGTCAGTCTTACCTCAATCCTGGGGAAGCTCTTTGAGAAGATCATCAAGGAGCACATTTGTGATGGGCCGGCATCCGAGATGATGCTCAGGGGCAATCAGCATGGATTTATTAGGGGGAGATCATGTCAGACCAACCTGATTGCCTTTTATGATCAGGTCACAAAGGCCATGGATGCAGGTGTCGCGGTGGATGTAGTCTTTCTGGACTTCAGCAAGGCCTTTGACACCGTCTCTCACCCCATCCTAATTAGTAAACTAGGCGACTGTGGCATAGATGCCTACACGGTCAGATGGATTGCAGATTGGCTGAAGGGTCGCACTCAGAGGGTGGTGGTGGATGGATCATATTCGACTTGGGGGGAGGTGGGTAGTGGAGTCCCTCAGGGCTCGGTCCTGGGCCCTGCGCTGTTCAATTTCTTCATCAGCGATCTTGATGTTGGGGTGGAGAGCAACCTGTTTAAATTCGCTGATGACACCAAAATTTGGGGGGAGGTGAGCACGCTAGCAGGGAGAGAGAGATTGCAGAAGGATCTGGATAGGTTACAGGGGTGGGCAGACAGGAACAGGATGCGTTTCAATACGGACAAGTGCAGGGTGCTGCACTTGGGTAGTAGGAACCAGCAGCACACTTATACGATGGGGAGCTCCCTACTTGAGAGCACGGAGGCGGAAAGGGATCTTGGTGTCATTATTGACTCCAAGATGAACATGGGCCGACAATGCGAGGTCATGGTTGGCAGGGCTAACCGGACCTTGTCGTGCATCCACAGGTGCATCTCGAGTAGAGCCAGGGAGGTGATCCTCCCCCTCTATGCGACGCTGGTCAGGCCGCAGCTGGAGTATTGTGTCCAGTTCTGTGCGCCCCATTTCAGGAGGGATGTGGACAACATGGAGAGGGTCCAGAGGAGGGCCACCCGCATGATCCGGGGACAACAGGGCAGACCCTACAGTGAGAGACTGCGGGACTTGAACCTATTCAGCCTCCACAAGAGAAGGCTGAGGGGGGACCTGGTGACCGTCTATAAACTCACTAGGGGGAACCAGAAGGGTTTGGGGGAGACGCTGTTTCCCCTAGCCCCTGCTGGCATAACAAGGAATAATGGGCACAAGTTGATGGAGAGGAGGTACAGATTGGACATCCGAAAAAACTACTTCACAGTTAGGGCGGCTAGGAGCTGGAACCAACTTCCAAGGGAGGTGGTGCTGGCCCCTACCCTGGGGATCTTTAAGAAGAGGCTGGATACTTACCTGGCTGGACTCATTTGAGTCCCGTTTTTGTTTTTAGGGTGAGTGGTTTTGTTTGTGTTTTTGGGTTGTTCTCCCGCCCTGGCGGGGGGTCGGGCTAGAAGATCTATTAGGTCCCTTCCGACCCTGAAACTATGAAACTATGAAACTATGAAGCTGACAAACAAGTAAGCAGGTGTCCAGGCAGGTCAAGAGACACAACCAGATTGTCTGCTGCTCAGATGGAGCTCTGCTATTTGGCTTGAGTTTATGAAGGCCTGTGTGGGCAGGCTCTCCTCCTGAGGGCCCTGAAGATGACAGAGCCAGCACCCTGATTACCTCCAGCTGGGACCTGGAACTGGATCAGCCACAGCTAGGGCTTGACTTTTTACAGTTCCTGGTTAGAGGGTCTTGCCTCCCTACTCAGGGTCAGACCAATTACATTTGAAATCAGGAAGGAATTTTACCCTGCAGTGAGACCCGTATGGATTGTGGAGTTTTATTGCCTTCCTCCATATGGGGGTCAGGGAGAAGGGGGTTATGGTCCTCTTTCTTGGATCTCTCAAGTGTATTTTAACAACCCTTGTATCAGTGGAACATTAAGTTGTATTCAGTAAAGAGCAATGATACAAGTGATACCTTTCAAAATAATGAGTAAGCTTGTCGAGCACTAACGTACAATTATGAATTCCTACTGGGTACTTATATGAATCTTTAGGCACCTAAATTCTTCAAAAAATCTATTCTCAGTCCCCAAAGCCCAGTCCTGAGTTTTGTTCAAACTCTACTCCTGTATAACTACCTAGCAGTTTAGATTTTCACGGGTCATTAGATTTTTTAATCTCTGGGCTATATTGATTTACAAGTAGCTGCCAGATTTGGCCATATGCTATCTATTTTAACTACCACCTCGAACAAGCAGCAAGCAGCATCTCAGGCAATCCAAACAAACTGAATATCAAACCCTGCCAATACAAACGCTGCCTTGTACACACAATTCTTACTGTGAAGAGGCGAGAGAATGGATCACTGAGAGCAGAGAGTACCCCCAACATTGAGCGCACTAGAGAAGCTGATCAGATACTGCCATGAAAAGGGGCAGATGGAAATCGTCATAGTACAGAACAGAGAGCTGGAGAGACAGCAGTTTCCTGTTAGAATTATTGTTTCCCTCGTCCCTCCTGTCTCATGTGCTAACAGTTATGTGTGTTCCTGGTCCTCCACTCATTTGTGAAAAAGTGTATCGTCTCCTCAAGTGCTGAGTGGATCCCAATGTATTTTATCAAGTGCTGCTTTACTTAGGCCAGGGCTGTCCAGTTGCTAAGAGGCCAGGGGCCACATGCCTATAGACCACACCAGTGCAAGCCATGGACCCCACTGTGGGTGCCCCCCACCACTACACCATGCCCTCCATCACTGCTGCACCTAGTGCCTGCACTCCCCCCAAACAACCCCTGCACCATGTGCACACCCTCTACCCCCACTTCTGTATCATGCACTTGTGCAGCCACCAGTTGGACAGCTCTGACTTAGATAAAGATATATGCAAGAAGATATACTTCCTACCAAGCAGGCAAATTTGCACCTCCGGATAGGACCAGCTCATTGAATTGTCATTTGTTCGGAAACTGCTTCTGAACAGAAGATAAGGGTAGAGTAATAGTAGAGCAATAGAGTAATCAAGAAGTAAAGCAATGATCTGGGAGTTCTACTTCAGGCCACAAAGCACCCAGATAAGCAGAGTCCTTTACACTAGGAATTCCCAAAGCCTTGTCACTAAAGGGCCATTTCAAAGGGCAGTCCCTGGCAGCAGGCCACATCAAAGGGGTTCACAGGTCACGTTTTGAGATCCCCTGCTATAAATCATAATCCTCAGTAGTGGAGAGTATTACAAAAACTACTGCAACCTTTGTGTGGGCACAGCATGTGTCCTTCACCTGTTGACCCATGTAAGATAACGACTCCAGGGCTCCTGTCTCCTCCATGGTGTTGCTATCATGAAGCAGTCCTTTTCTTTCCTGAGCTTGATACTGAGGTGCTGACCAAGTCCTGAAGGTTCGGAGTGCATTAAACTCCTTTTAACTTCAGAGTGCATTAAACTCCTTTTAACTTCAATGGGAGTTGAGAATGCTTATTCCTTCCAGAAGTTCCAGCACCTCGAGGAATGAGCCTTCTGAGCACAAGGCTGGGACTGCCCCCAAACTCAGTACAGAGAAAAATAATATGGGTTGGCAGCCATTTCCTCCCACAAAAGGCAGGGCACAATCTAACCTAATAGTTGTGAGCTGTGCTTGTGGCTGCCTAGGTGCCACATAATTAAACCGTAATAAAATAGATAAACGACCTCTAGATGCAAATATTTGCTATTGGACATTATTGCACATGAAGGGATGGAAAGGTTGACTGGTTTGCTGATGATTAGTCTTCTATGCTGAATGACAGCCTTAAATAAAAACCAGCTTGTAAATGAGTATTAATTTAAAGCGCAGTCAATTAACACAAAATAAACAGACTGGCAGCTAAGTTGCCAGCCTGGGTAAGATTTCTACCTTAGGTTGAGGAGTTTTTGTCTACGCTTGTGGATACCCCTGCAAAACACATCCATGACTCAGAAATAAACAACTCTGAGGTAAAAAAGATTATCCCTCAAAAACATTACTTTTAAATATTTAAAAGGAAAATCTAAAAAAAAATTGCTGTAGAAAAACAACTTCTGGTGAAAAGTGTTATACAATATATCTGTTACACTGATATCTGATCTCAATTTTTCTTTACCATTTTGGCAAAGATATGCCTAACACTTTATACAATACATGTAGGGATCCTACCATTGGAAGAGGATGATATTTCTACCTATTAGGATCCTATTTGAAGTTAAGGTAACTGTTTAGCAGATCACTGGTGTTTCACTGTATAACTATTTAACAGTATACCACCTCAATACCTGTATAAGTTTTACATGGTGTATGTACATTTATTTCTTTTGATGCAGAGCAATTCATACCCTGTACCCTGTTTATCACACTTTGGACCACATTTGCTAGGAATAAACTGGAGAAAGATTATGATAAAGTCACAGGCAATGAAGATGTTGAGTACTAATCTAACAGGTGTTCCCACTCCCTGTGTCCTTTGTATATGCATATTCAAATCACACAAGGCAAGAGGCAGGATAGGGTCTGTTAACTCACTGCTGATTTCCCTAGCAAATAAGCCAGCAGCTGCTGGACCAAGCACTGGCTTAGCCCAGAGAAGAAGGTGTTATTTGTATGGGACACGATGCTTTCATGGAGCCCTTTAGCAACTCATTTTGTGAGTTACAGTGCAAAATATATTTTCTGCTTTTAGGTAAGAGAGGCAATGTAGTATTATGCCTGTTTGTTTTCACCGGGGACAAGTGGTTTATTGATATGTAGACAAGATTCTTTGGATATGTATATTTTTAAATGTTAAAGAATTTTTTTTTTTAATTTTTGCATTCTTTTTAAAAAAAAGTCAGCCTACATGTATTTAACCTAGTAGTATGCTTTTTAAGTACAAAAGCAGAAAGTTTGTCAGCTATTGTATAATACTTGTTATATGTGATTTTTAAGTAAAACGTCATCACTGAATATGTTATATGTTTGTAACGTTTAGCCTGACAGTTGTTGTTGTTTGTCTAAAACTATCTTCTGAAAGTGAATTTAGTTTGTTTGACAGTATAGTATTATCTTTCAGTTTCCCAAAATAATGTCTGGTTGTGAAGATGCAAAAGTAATAAGGTACTATTTACACATGTTGCTTTGGTATACAATCTTGATAAGGGTATCCTTAAAGAAAAATATACTTTTCATGCCCAGGTTACTTGAGGAAAATAATTTACAAAAAACAAAAAAAAATGGTTCAAGGAAATAATCTAATTTTGGCACTGCTACATTTACTGGGTGAAAGGACAAGTTTAATCTGGCTAGGATTTTTTTAATAATCACTATGATTATGATTTTATATTTTGAAAAGAAGAATAATATAGATTTTATTAAAGTTTAAGTTTCCAACTAACTCCTACCACAGACTCTCACCTGGTCATTTAATAGAGCAGAGGCTGCTTTCCTGCTCATAATACTTTCTCCTCGGTACGCAGGGTACTTAGGTGCCACTATTATAAGCATACATTTGTCATCCATGCATTTGACAGAAAAGAATGCCCCAGGTACTTTTCTAGAAATCTGCTGCAATGTTAGATACAATTCTCTTTTTACCTCTCTAATGTTATTTCTAAAACTTTTTAGAATCAAGGTTTGTTTTATTTAGTTATTTATATAAGGAATCTGTAACATTGTAAATGTATCTTTCTATAACATAAATTTAAGTGATATTGGCTTTACATTTCTTTCCTCTGCTTGAAGAACTTAATTTACTGTAAAGTATTTTGCTAAATTTGGAGTTCAGTCCTTTGTGAAGGGGAATTTTATCTGACATTTGTAGTTTTACATCAGTTGAGCTTGCAATTCCCGAAAAAATACATTAATAAGGATTTTTAGTAACACTGAATATTTTCAATTAATTAAAAAAAAATACTTCTTGCCTGCTATATGTGTATAACATCTTTGTTGAAGCCTTCACTAAAGTCTAATGTTATTTCTGTACTTGGTTTCTAAATCGTTGTATTTAAGTGCTAAGTCATACATGAAGAAGTCATGCCAACATACACTTTCAGATACAGACCTTTATAAACTTTTTCATGTATGGATTGCTTTCTATTACTATAACACTCTAATTTTGTGATCAAAGGCATGGTCCAAATCCCACTGAAGTCAATAAAAGTCTTTCCATTACCTTCAGTGTGCTTTTGTCAGATGTATATATAAAGCAAACATCTACAGAAATGTTGTTCCATTAAGGATAGGAAAACTTGGGCCTCTGGACAGAGTAGATAAGCAATATGTCTGAACTCTAGGACTTATAAAAACTATGGTGCTTTCCCCCTTGTGTAGGCATTTACATCTGTGAAAAAAATCACCGTTCTGATTTTTGCCCACCTTTTATACAGGATGCTAAACAGTTGAGAATAGAATCGTATTTTTTCTAGGATAATAAAAAGGATGTGTGCTTTAAATTTCAGGGAATAATGAAACCTCACTAAGCAGGTTTCAGTTTATGCAGTAAACACAAAATATGATGTCATAGTTTTTATTTAAACTAAAGCGGCAGACTTTGTTTTATGTAAATAGTAGCTCTGTTGTGCTTGCTAATACTCAAAAGAGTGATATGGAAGCAAAACATAGATCACTTTGAGTTCCAGATGGAGGTCACTTTGGTAAAACCAAAAAGTTTATAGTCAATATAGAAAAACTAGCTTTATAGAGTCTATGTTACTGGCAAGAAAAACACATTAAATTTAGCAAGTTATACATAGCCATATGTTTAGATTTTGACTATTCTTAATTACTGCATGAGATAACATGATGTGAAAAATGGAATTTCCTGAACAATTGTCTTTAAAATTGATTTCATTATATATTCTGAGAGGTTCATGTAAGTATCTTAACATCTATATACTTAATGGGGTGAAACTAAATTAAACCTAGTGCTCACTAGTTTTATTTTTCATTTTGAAAAATGGTTGATTAAGTTAGGCTTGCAAGTGCATGTTTATGTATGCATAAAACAAGTACCTTGTTTTTTGAAATGCTGAATACTAAGCACTCCTATCAACTATTATGGGATATATAGGACACACAGCATTTTGGAACTCAGGCAACTTAATGTAAATGTAAATTTAGAAGCCTAATTTTAGGCATCCTTTTCATTTTATTAAAATTTGACCAAGTTTACATTGGTAGGGACTATAACTCCTATCCTAGATGTAGCTGAAGTAACACGTGTATATATGAAAGTTTCAGAAAATAACAGTAATTTCAAAATAAAACCACTTTGTGTGTAATGATCACTTACTGGGCCACATTGCTTCCCTAAATAGTCATAAAGAATGGGCGTGTCTGATGCTGCCATCATCAGTGTTCCCTGCTGCTATAAATTTTCCCCATTATGTCACAGGCATATAGCATGGGCTACTGTTTAGCTGTTAGATTCTGAAACACCTCACACTTTACGTATTTCATCAATAAAATATACTACTGGGTTACTGCCACTATTATTGTGAACAGTAGTATATTATCCTGTGATTCACTTATTGTAGACATGGATAAAATGTTAGGGACTCAAGTCCAGTTGGCTTTTAACAGAATTTAAGTTCCTGGGTTATTCATGTGCTTCTGAAAACTTTCCAGGATAGCGTTAACCAAAAAATCAGACAAAATTGGTCTTGAAACCGTATTTCACGTGATATTTGCTTGCTGGCAATATTATTAAGAATTAAGTGAAGGTCTACTCCATTAACTTGAGTTCATTGTAGCATTTAATTGCTTCTTCAATATAAGTGATTCTGTTAGAAGTTTAAATGTTTGGACTTGTCTTCATCAAAACTCTGATGAAGACTTTTATTTAGGAACCCAAAGTCAACCAACATTACTCTTAAAAAAATCAATGTTTAAAAAAACTCCCTTATCTAAAAACAACTTCTCCAATACTCACTTCCTTATGCCCATACAGATGTTCCCACACATTGATTAAACCTGATCATATCATCAGAGCATGAAAACAGGGAAGTTTGCACTGAGTCTGTTAAAGCCCCACCCCAACAGACTACTGCCCTGCAGCTCATTGTCCTGAAGAGGGAAATAATGTTACTTCCTTTATCTCTCCTGTTCTGTGCTCAACTGGCTCTAAATGTTCCCAGACAGTAACATATAGACCCATTTTTCTCCACAAATTACTATGGACACGTGAAATATGGCTTTTAACCTCTCAATTTCTCTTTGTTTCATTGGTAGTGACCCTAGTGTGACAAAACCAAGCGTTTTTTCTTTGCTGTACATTAAAGAGACTGTGGTTTAGTTGTGATAGTGGTCTCTGCACTGATGCTCCTTTTCTAGGCATTAATTCATCCCTCACATATTACTTTTAACTACGGTCATACCTTTGATGTTCAAACTTGCCCTTTTTCCTATTTTCTGCCAGTTACCTGTTGGAAAAAATATTTATAGCAGATGCTACTTTTATAGATGCTGCTATGCTGATATCATACCATATTATTAGTCTCTGAAAGCTAGACAAGCTTATAAATTAGCTGGGATAATAACAAAGGATGATGGGTTGTATTGGCTGGTCCTTACCTATTCATTTTCAGATTTTCACCATGGGGGGAGGGTGTTGTTTTTTGAGACTAAGTTTGTTGTAAAGGGAATTTGATGTTTAGTAGTATTAGCTGGACTTTGTCAAAACACCTCCAACCTTACCTATTTCATGAAATAATTTGTTTAGGAATTGTTGTTTTATTTACTCTACAGAGCATCAAGATTAAACAGCAACAACACAATCTTCCAATGCCTCTTTTGATTTTTGTTAAACTTCTGAAAAACATTCTACCCCAGGAATAGACATATATTTAGTTTCAGGAAAAATGGAGTAGTTTTCAAATAAAACTTGGTCCAACTCCAGTAAATCACTAGCTGTCTTTCCATGGGAGCAGGATCAGATCTATTAGAAAGAAGTTTAATTATGGCAATAATTTCTCCATGAGAATTTCCATTTAGAATTTGCTGTTTCCAGTTTTACCTACTTTGTACTTGTATACAGGTATTTGTTCTGCACTGAAGTTGACAGTACCCTCACATACTATCCAGGGCATTGAGGGGAAGCCACTCAATCTTGCTGTTGACTACAATTTCAACATCACAGCTTCAGAAATCCAAATAATATGGCTGTTCGAAGGACCTCCAACTACGCTTAAATATTTACTTAGTTCTGTAAACCAGTCAGTAGTTCCAGATTTGGAATATCAGCAAAAGTTTACCCTCATACCACCAAATGCATCTTTGATGATCAATCCTCTACATATTAGTGATGAAGGCAATTACATTGTAAAAGTCAATGTTCGTGGAAATGAGACAATAGCAGCCAGTCAAAAAATTCAAGTAGCTGTTGATGGTAAGTAAATAAAATACTGTTTTTCCCCCCATGTTGCAAACAAAACTGCACATTAGTGAAGAACTATTCATCTGGAATCCCCTACAGGTTTATAGAATTCAATCTGACTCTGCATGGACAAATCCACTGGCAGAGAAGTCATGTTATGCTTATTTTCTAGAACTGTAGGAGTTAAGCATGACAGCAGTTTATTACTAAACAAACTTAAAATACTGATTGTTACCTTATTCATCTCAAGTAAATCCAACTGGGTTTGTGTAGACACCATATCACTAATGTGTAATTGGATGAACCACAGTGACCTTAGGAAGTGATCTGTTTTCATACAGCTTGATTCTGCCACCCTTATTTGCCTTGAGGCTGCAATAATTTTCACATAGTACTTTTTTCTTCTAGTTGGGACCCACTCTTTGAGGTGACTTTTAGAGGCAGATGCCTATTCAGGATTCTATACTGCAAAGGAGCTAGAGATTGGGTTCATATAACCTGAAAGCCAGCTCTGAAGACAAACCTATGGCTCTAAGTGTAGGGCCTTGTGTGAGCTAGGCTTCCTTTCTCCTACCTGTCAATAGGTACAAAAAGATATGGGTCTGTTCTCCTGTTAGTGCTAGTACTAGTAGCTACTAGTTTTAGTAGCGTCCATTAATGTCAGTGAAAGTTATTCATATGTATGGAAAAAACACACGTGTGTATCTGGTTATTCCTTTTTTCCCCAAGAGAAAATAACACCAACCTGTCTTGATCTGACTGCAGGTGATGAACAGTCCCAGAATAGGGGTGGGAGGAAGTAAAAGAGCACAAAAGAGGGCACCTCTTGCAAGGGTCTCTTCACCAACTGGTCAGCAAGATGGTCATGGGAGGTTGGCTCTTCATCTCTTCATTAATTTAGATTTTGATCTGGGTATCTGGAATCTGGCTTTTTGTGATTGCCAAAGGACCAGCTTCCAGACTAAAAAGGGAACCCAGTAAACCCTTTTATTTACAGGAGAAGGGGAGATCTGAAGTCTTTGCATACCATAATCCCCCCTGTGATACCTTTTGTTCCTGTCATGGTGTAAAGGGGGAAGCATTCACGAGCATGAGTTGAATCCTACTGGTAGGCTGAGGATGGGCTATCCAAATTATGGGAGACAAGGTGGGAGCCCTCTTAAATGTCTAAGCTTAATAAGGTTGTGACTTGTTGCTTAAAACCACCCCTGTGACTGCTATTACTTGCATGTCCTAATCAAAAACATACTTGCCCTCCAATCTTTATGTCATATTCTCAGTTAATATAAATCTTCCTAGCTTTATTACCATGACTGAAAGTATGTCTGTTGGCACCAGATGATGTTTTGAACTTTTAAGAATGTAAAAACTGAAGTGTAAACACTTTCTAAAAAAAGGTAAATGTCATTTATATCACCTGGGCAGTAAAGGAGATCTACTGATATTCTAAATGGCAACTCTTGTTTATAACCCTTCATGTCTCTATCTTACAGTTCCTGTCACAGAGCCAATTGTACATACCCAACCTTCTTCAGGGGCAGTGGAGTATGTGGGGAACATTACACTAACATGTACTGTGAGAAAAGGGACAAGGGTAGCTTACCAGTGGATGAAAAATGGGAAACCTATCCATGCCAGCCCTAGTTACACCTTTTCCTCAAACAATGACACACTTTTGATTGTTCCCGTTGTGAAAGAAGACATTGGAAATTACAGTTGTTTGGCAACCAACCCTGTCAGTGTGATGGAAAGTGAGATAATTACACCAATTATATATTGTGAGTATATTAAATATTCATGAATACTTTTGTCTAACTGAGCTTTCTAGAGAGACAACTGCTAACTGTAGAATAGGAAGAAAGCACTTAATTTGTGTTTATATGATGGTTTCCACTCAAAGCAGACTAGACTAATAAGCCAGCTGTACTGCTCCATAATAATTTAATAAAGAACATACTAAACTTTATGGAGCTGTTAAAGATTAGCTTCAGCTGCAGAATTCAGGTCTGAATTTCAAACACCTCAAAATGAAAAGGCCATCAAACTTGGGCAGGGTGGGTACCAGTAGAATAATTGTGCAGTACATGAGAAACTGGATAAAAGGGAGGAATCAATGAGTAGTGCTAAAAAGAGAAATATCAGGCTGGAAGGAATTAATTAAAGGAATTTCTACAGGATAGGTCTCAGGACTGATCTTGCTTATTATTTGTATTAGTCACCTTAGCACAAGAAGCGGATATGTTCTTAAGAAACTGGCCAAAAATACCAAGTTAGGAGGTATCATCAACATGAAGGAGGAGCAGGATGCTATACAGAAATAACTGGATAACCTTGCAGACTGGAGCAATACGAATGGCATGAAATTCAGCAGTATAAGATGTAAGGTTATGCAGTTAGGGAATAATACCAAGAATTTCTGCTATAAGATAGAGACTTACCAGTTTGAAAAGACTGAGGAGGAAGGACCTAGGTATGCTACTTGATTACATGATGACTGTGAACCACCAGTGTGTTGCAGCCATGGAAAAGGTAAATGCAATCCTAGGATAAAGGCCTAGATTAGACCAGTAATAATATGAAAAATATGATGACGATATTAAGCAGGTTATGCAGTTCATTGGATAATGGCAAAGCCTTTACTGATAAAGGACACTGATATGAATGAAATAATCTGCTTAAAATAAAACCAACAATTTGTCTAAACTGTCTCCAAGTCAGTACATTTATTCACAGATGAAAAATTCTTTATTGATTTTTGAGGTGTTGGAGGTGAGGATTTTCATTATCACCATACCAGTGTTACAAAGATTCCCCCAAAAGCTAATATTGCTCTAGATCAGTAGTTCCCAACCTTTTTTTTATGCACCTCGCTGCTGGGAGCAGAGTGTGGTGTCGGTGGCAGCCCAGGGGTGGGGGAGCTCCCAGCAGGTAGCACAGCTCATCTTTTCTGTGCGGCACCACTGGCATTGCCCCTGAGACCCTAATTTGGGTCACAACCTGGAGTTGGGAACCACTGCTCTAGATATTGGATTAGATGACTTCCTGAGGCCCCTTTTGCCCCTAGTTTTCTGTGATTCTGTATACATTGCATTTTCTTTATGCCATATCTGACTTTCTAATCCAGTATTTTTAATGACATGCAGAGGTGAATTATATATCCATCCTTCAGTGTCAGCCACCCTACTGAGCTGAGGAAAGAGAGCCAATTCTGCCCAGTGAAGAATATATTATAGCAAACATGGATAAAGGGACTTTTAGCTGGCTTTTTTTTAAATTAGAGTTATAAAAATAATATGTAGGAGCTGAGGGGAAAGTTGTGTTTCTACCCACACCAAGCAGAGGACCTATAACAGCTCTAAAGTGAAATGACCAGTTCTAGCAGTTTATTAACTGTCTATGGTGAGAAAGTAACAAACTGGCTTTCGTAAGGGAACAGGTTTTCAAAGGCAGTATGTGCACTGCTGCACTTGTATATCCTTGATTTGGATATTTTTTTTAGGAACAAAAAGGTTTAGATCAAGGGCCACACATGCATGAATTCATTGTCCGTGCTGCTTTTCTAGCCTTAATAAGAAATGAATATGAAAGATAAACAGAAAGATGACAAAATAAAATGTTACAGCAAAGCTGAAACCCACAATAACATGACAAGCTTCTTGCAGTATAGTAACATGGGATACATATCTCATATGTTGCTTCCATTCTGATTTATATATCAGTCCTTGACAAATTCTGATAGATGACAACTGTATTTAGTTTCAGCATCTACTAACCTCCAAAGAATATATTTGCATTGGTAACCACAATGAGAAGGAAGTAGCCTTTATATGCAGCTCCTATATTATTCATGAAAACAAGTGGATTATTCTATGGATATCTTTCCAAGTTCAGGCAGCAATTCTCTGCATGCTGGGCTATATTTCAGAATTAAGTATTGTACTGCCTCTTGCCTGATTTAAAGCTGATAAAAAATTAAAAGCAATTATTCTTGTAAAATTTTAAAATATCAAAGTTACCTTAATATCAAAATGTTTGATATTGGGTTTTTTTTAATATTTGGGGTTTTATGTTTCTCAAAAGCATAAAGGAAAAATTAACAAGCTACCTGTCAAAATGTTTACCAAAAAAATTAATATCATATTTTGCAATATTTGCGTAAATCTTTAGCCATTGGCCAAGAAAGAACAGTACTTGAAGTTCTTTCCATGTTCTCATTAGGTTTAGTAGACTCACTACCTCCATTCAATTTTCAAGTCAGTTTAATCAGACTAGCCTCTGCCACAGTTTACAGGGTTTTTTGTCTTTTAGCTACCACTTGTCAATAATAATCTAGTACAGGCTCCAGGGTCTGTACGCACCATATGCCAGTGCTGCAGGGAGTTTCTGTAAGTGATAAAAAGGTCACTCACAGTAAATACCTACCATCTGCTCAGAAACTACATGGATAACAGTCTCATGATGATAGGAGCAATCTGAAATATTCCCACAGAGCAGTAAATTGTTACTCAGAATAGGTGATTTATTATTTTACACGTCATTTACTAAACAGGCTTTGCTGAAGCAAGAGATTCATTTCTTCCAGGAATGATACTAAAATTGAGGATAAGAATTGAGTGAACCAAGGAAGGAATTATTTTTAATCAAAAACTTCTTTGGTTCAGTCGATGTTACATGTGAATATTATTCTATTTGTCTATTAATTCTAAAAATAATGCATCTCACAGTGCTTAACAAGTAAACACCTCATTCAGAAAAATCATTACAAGAAAGGGAGAGAACTGATAAGTCTGCTTGCATGGCTGTTGTAGCAGAAGCTGCTGCACTCATTGAGAGATAAACATAATGGAACACATCTGCACGTTGCCTTATGTCACTTATGTTGCTGTGCTGCATGCTACGGTGACGTAGCAGTCATGTGAGTCTACACGTGATCAGCAGCTACATTGCCATAGCAGCACACTCTTCCATTTTAGCACACCGCTATGGCGACACAGCAGGAAAATCTAACCATGTGCCGCATGCACGGTGCAGTATGAGCGGTTACTGAGCTGTACTTTACTGAGCTGTTCCTTTTGGAAGTACTAAAGCATGGTGACATGTATACACACCCATTTAGTCCTAAAGAGAAGTTGCCAGTTTATCTGCATCTAAGAAACCATGTCTGAAATACAGATGAAAATAGCTTTAAATGAAGTTATGAATCTGCTCCTGCTGTCATGTCTGAATAGCACTACACTGCATATTAGATTCTCATGACACTGCATATCAAGTAGGGAGACCACGCAATGTAGCTGTCTGGATTCATACACCAGCCTGCACTGTATTGTAATGTCACAGTGCTTTTCTAATGTCCTTATTAGATTTAGTAGTCTCACTACCTGCATTAAATTTTGAAGTCAGTTTAATCAGACTAGCCTCTGCCACAGTTTTCAGGGTTTTTTGTCTTTTAGCTACCACTTTTAAAGCAGCTTTTCTAGCGCATCCTAGGAATTTTCAAATTTCTTATACAGAAGTGTAATGATCATGTTAGTGTTTTTCATTTATGTAGTACTATGATCAGTATGATGGTGCACTGCATTGTGGTGCCGGATATTAGCAAAGTGTCTAGTTTCATTCAATTGAAGACTATGGGAACCCTCCCATTATATTTTTTGGAAGTAGGAAAAGATGCTTAATGAACACTCTAATACCATATTCCTAAGTATGGTTGGATTCAGTGACTACATATGAAGACTGACTATATTACCAATAGAAATACAATCTGTTTTGGAAAATAAAATCACGAAGGCAGGGAAAATGAATGGCTGGGTGGTAACAGCTGTCAGAAGGTACCAAAAAGCACAAAATAGCATATTGATTCTTAAAATTAATTCATTTTGAACATTTTTATTGCATATAACAGAAAAATAGCATTGCTTTGAGTGCATCCCAACAAAAGAATTTGCCTGGCTTTTCATCCCCAATCAGGTGCTAGGTTTTTGGAAGGCCTTGCAAAGGAAAGGCCAATAAGAATGGGAACCAAGAAGCTGAAAGGCAGACTGTGGAGAGTTCATCTAAATTCAGAAATACTTATAATGATGTAGTAAACAGACTTCCTAGGAACAGAAAACGGTGGAAACAATGTAGGGATAGCAAGTTCAGAACCTGGCATAGAAAAGCTTCATTTTTTGTCCTAGTGTCACCTAATAGATGAAGTTGGAGCACCACTGATGCAATTCAAAGTGAGTTTTTCTTATACTTCCCAAGTAAGAAACTGTTGTAATCTATAGTCTTGATTAGAATGGGAAAGAGAGAAGCCTTCCCTTAATACTAAGTATAATGGAAAGAGAGCTAAATAATCTTGTATTGTGGCATCAAGATAAGGCTAAAAGTGGGCCGTCTTGATTCATGGTATTTCTTTCATTCTCTGGTGGGTGTATACCAATGTAATTTATTTAAATTCTTCCTCAAACGGGAAATTATAAAACAGCTAGTTTTACATTGCTTATAGTTTCTTTGCCTGTGTGTTGCTCAGAGATAAGTCAATCTCATAAGAACACCATAAATCAAAATGTATAAGACATTTTCCTGGTAAGTGATGAAAAGGAAGTCAGAATTATGCCAAAAGTCTAGCTAACCTTACAGAATTTTCAGCTTCACAAATTGCTGCTCATTTCTTGGTTATTTTTATGTTATTGCTTCCAAAGAGGCACACTAAAAATAGATATGTTGTTTGCTTATACCTGCTAATATGGACATATCAGATTATTGATTTAGCAATCTTTTTGTTATAACATAATGTAAGAGTAATTTAGCAGTAGCTTGGTAGAATAATAGAGCCAAGGTTCATTAGTAAAAATATGTCTAACATCTGCTTTGAATACTGCTTTGTGGCTCAGCACCTGTCACTATTTGGGTTATGAGCATTAGTTTCTCATCTGAACCTTATGATATTTGATAAACAATGTGGTGATAATCTGGTTTCTGTACACTAAGAAGCTGCTCCAAGAGAGGCAAGTTTCCATTGCTGCATCGTCTATTATATTTCTTATACTTAATTGCTTACAAAGCAAGATTTTATTCTTACATTTAAAAAACTAAGAGAAGTAATAATGGTCTCACATTATCTAGCTAAAACAGCAGTTGAAATATTCTTATCATAATCCAATACATTTGGTTTTCTTTATTCTACTGTGCAGATGTAGGACAACACCATAAAATATTGAGCTGCTGGACTTTTTGACTAACAGATACATTGTAGCTGGACAACTCTCTTTCACCTAAGCCTTTTCTAGTTAGGGCCAAACATGGGTTTGCTATTGCAGGAAATGTTGAAATACCTGAAATGCAGTAAAAAGAGGGAAAGGTTAAAGTTTTCTTTAAAGGTCATTTATGAAAAACAAATTGTCTGAGGGTATGGGAGACACACCCTGCTATGTCTTACTAAGGGTAGGATAGTTTCATAAGTAAATACTGTATAACAAGTATTACAATAAATGTTTACATAGGTATATGTCAATGCCAATTTAATGATCTTTACAAGTAAACAGAAATAGATTATCCCAGTAACCTTTGTATTTAAGTATAAAGGGTCAAATGTACTCCATTGCAGAGAATGAAAAGAAGGCATATGGTTTCAATACACCATTCTTCCAACACTGCTTCAGTTCTACCTAAGGTTCTTTTGAGAGAATAAAAAGTATGCAGGCATTCTGGCCTTATGCTGTTTCTCTGCACATGGTTGAAATTCACCTTAGCAAATCAACGTCAAGTGGTCACATTGTGAGCTAAGACCATTACATGTCAAACTGAATTAATCTGAGGCCTTTGAAATCAAAATAATTGAACCTAATGGGAGCAAATTGAAAGGCAAAGTCTGGCTCTTAAAAAAATTAAATAAAAAATATATGTAAACTTTTATTTTCTCCATTATAATAATTTTTCTTGTTCATATTAATACAGATGGGCCTTATGGACTTACAGTTAATTCAGATAAAGGCCTGAAAGTTGGAGAGGTGTTTACGGTTGATGTAGGAGAAGATATTCTTTTTGATTGCTCAGCAGATTCCAATCCACCAAATACTTATTCATGGATTCAAAGGGCTGATAATGCCACCTATGTTATCAAATATGGCCCCCATCTGGAAATTCCATCGGGTAAAGTGACCCAGAGAACAATAGATTATATGTGCTGTGCTTACAATAACGTGACTGGGAAACGAGATGAAACTCATTTTACAGTGATAATTACTTCTGTGGGTAAGTACATTGAATATATAAAATTGCAAATCCAAGATGAATATAGCATATAAATGTAGTGTTCAGATCAGAGGAACAAATCAACTGGACTGCTAGTTAATGAATAGCTAATACACCATCCTGATACATTGAAATTCCTTCTTTTTAGAAATACTTGAGAAGCTGAAATCTTAGCATTAATCAGGTGGAAGGGATTTTGCTATTTGTTTCAATATATCGTATAATGCACAAGATTATCGTATAATGCACTTGAGTCCAGATCCTTTAAGGCAGTGGTTTTCAAACTATGTTCTGTGGAACCCTGGGGATCCATGATAGGTCATCAGGGGTTCTGCAAAAAGAGATTGAGGGTAATGGTAGAGCAGGCCAGGAGGCAGTGCTCCACAGTAGCTGGGTTGGGTTGCCTGGCTCCATGTCAGTCTTCAGGATAGGGGTAAGGGGTCCAGAGCAGAAACGGTACAAAGGTTTCAGTGACTTTAGAAGTTTGGAAAACACTGCTTTGCAGTCTTAAGAAACCTAATTCCCAGTGAAGGAGGATCTGGGCCTTTGCCCTCTGAGCAAAGATACAACATTGCTTGCCAGCACTACCTTGCAATAACCGATTAAAGAAGAATTGAATTTTTTTGTATTCTCTGAGTTTTCTGTAAGACTAGAAAAAAACAATGATGGGAGAAAGAGGATTATAATTACAATGAACCCTGAACTGGGACCTCAAACTGAATATCTATGGAGGGCACCCAGACTCTGTTCAAAGACACATTCTCTCTCTCTCTCTCTTTAATCATGAATTATAAATGCTGTAGAGGCAAAGTGGCCATCAAACATTATGAACAAGATGGTGCAATTATGATGAGAATGACCAGGAAAATGGCCAGGAAAAATGGGCTGCATTAAAACAGCACTTTAAACTCTGCATGCTCCCATGCTGAGCCCAGCACATGCCCAGTAGAGGCAGCATGTTAGTTGGACCCAGATTGCCTGATGTCTGTATAGATCAGATGCTTTAGTAAGGATTTTTGGCACTTTTATGTAATAGCTGATTGAATCAGCTTTAGATAAAAGCACCAAAAAGCCCTGCTGAAGCACCCGATCTGTACAGATGCTGTAAAGCTGGGTTGAAGTAACATGCTGCTTCTTCCTGTAACATACAGTTTTGGTTTGTTTTTAAAGTCTGCAGGCCTCCTTAAAATTTGCTGTTAGAATGAGGGTATTAATTTCGTGTGTGCTGATTACCATCTTTGAAGTGCTAAAAAACTGATGGTTTCAATGGTTTCTGAAGACATCTGGGCTAGGGACAGAAATTACACAGAAACCAGTATAAGTGACTGTAAACTGGTTCAAATCTGTAAGATAACAGAAGTTCAGTGCACATGAACTGCTTTCAAAATGGCCAAAACCAGTTTAAGTTACCCTTGATGGATGTGGTATCAGACTAACTGATTTAGGTTAAATTGGTTTATTGAACTTCTGCCTCAGATCCTATCCAGATTCAAGTTAACTCACAGTCCCCCAGCATCCCAGGATGCTTAGCACCTCCCCTGTAGTCCCTCCCCACCCACCTCAGGTTGGGTAGGCTAGCCTTGGCCCAAGCTGTCTGCTCCAGCTGAGCAGGGAGGCAGCTTCTGGTGTGGGCCAGTGCAGACATGTGGCTGCATTTCCAGAATCAAAAGTGAATGCCTGTTCACTAGCTTATCAGTTCAATCTACACAGTTTAACCTAACCTGTGAAGAGTGATTTGATTCAGCCTTGGGATTCTGACTGCCTGTACTTACTTAGCTATGTAGATGTCATTTTTCTTTCAGGTGGCCCTGTGCAAGTTTTTTGCAAGGTACATAGAAATTCATCTTTACTTTCAGTTTGTGACAGATTTATATCCTGTCCTATATTATGCCAAAATTAAAAAAACACAAAAAATTCAGAAAATTTCCAGAAAAAAAGCAGGCGTTTGCTGCAGTTTAACGTTTCTCTCTAATGTCTCTTTATGACTAATTAGAACAACATATTGTACGAGTAGTTAATCATTTTTTAACTAATTACTAAAGATCAATATTTTTTTCAGATGTGGTCAGGTTATTAACATACAATACAATGTGAGACTGTTGCCTTTTAGAAAGTTTAACAACCCTGTTTTGCGTGTACAGGACAAAGAGCTCTGACATTTATAATTAAGATAAACATGGGCAGCAGGTGCCTATTGTTCAGATGGATTTAATACAATCATCACAAATGAAGGCTCCATGGTTTCAAACAGCCCACAAGGAAAATAAGTTAAAATGTTACCATAAAGGCTTAAAAATAAAAACCTTGTAATGACTAAAAAGGGAAAATGAAAACAGAGCTGTTATTTTACATTAGGAATAGAAATGGCATTTTTTCCTGTTAATGAAAGAAAACCCTGACACCTGAAATGCATAGTGAATGCTCTTACTATAATAAGCAAACATTCTGAGATGTTTTTGAAACATGAACTGTCCATATGATTCATATTTTATGTTTAGTTGTACCTAAAACATTAAAAATCAATGTGTATATTTCCTGATTTAAAATATATTAAATTACTTCATAAATTTTTAAAAAGACAATTTAGAGGCAGTGTATTCCATTTTTTTAAATAGAAGATATCTAGATTTTCCTATACTATACAATTTTCCTATTTCAAAAGATTCATTTGTCTAATACCAGCCATCATTCTCCATTCCTTAATTCAGGTAAAACTCCTATTAACATCAATGAAAATTTTGTTTTAGTGCAGGACTGAAGTTTAAATATAAGAATACCCAATGAATTTGATGCACAGGATTTCACTCAGAAGTTCCTACTCAGGCTAAGCTCCTACAGGGATCAATGGGAGTTGTGATGGATTAAGGTCTAAGCAAATACTTTGGCTGGTATTGCTGTGCCCCTCCTATCCCATTTTTCAAGGTAGTGAGTCTGGGCAAAGACTTTCACATCCCTAAACAATGAGCTTAGGGGTTTCAGAAAACCTTATTCAGCTTGTCTGCACCAAGGGCCAAAATTCAGCCATATGGTGCTATACATATATGTCCAGTTAGGATTGGGAAACCTAAAAAAGAAAACAGTTATAAACAGTTCAGCAATTCCACTATACTACTCTCCCTTTACCAAGGCAAGTTGGGGCATGGGCACAAAACTAACTTGCTGTCAGGCAATAACATTTAAAAAAGGTAGATGAGCAGGGCACTAGCCCTGGGTACTGACTTACTGTCCATGCACCTGGATGCTGTGCTAGGTAGTTTCAACCTCATGCAGGAGCACAGCAGCCAGGTGTATGGACATCATAGCAGCTACAGGCAGCAGCTCTTTGGCTCTCAGAACCCCCACAAGATGTAGGGGTTTTGTCCAGGATGAAAAACTTGTTAGTTATGCCTCTGCTATGGGGTCAAATAGTAAGGGGGCTTATAGTTTGTCAGCTACTCTTGTGATAACTACCATATTTACTCACATACCACTTACACCTTTTCCCCAAAACTCAACTTTCCAAAATTGGGGTGCATGTGTTAAGCAAGGAAGCCAATTTTTCTTTACTGGAATAGAAGCAACCATGAAGACACTGCTGTAAGATGCTACCAGCCTCAGGAAGGGACAAGACAGAGTTCACCCTCCAGGGTCAGAGCTACAGTATTAACCCTCTCACAGCCACAGCTGCTGCAGTCAGCATTCAGCCATGACAGGAAACATCTTTTTTATTTCATTCTGCCTTCCCAAAATAAGGTGTGTGTCTTATTTGAGGGCAGTAGTGATGGTAGCTGAGATGGGCTGGTGGTATGCCCTCTGCCAAAGTGGCCTCAGGTTCCCCTATCAGGACCTTTTGCTGTTCTGAAATCCCTCTTTTTGTATTCTTTCTACCACTCTGATGACTCTCCATGTTATGTCCTGTCAGCATATTCCTCTGTGTCACAAACCCATCACATGCACACATGAACTGGTGCCAATGCTGCAATGCTGCAGAGTCCCTTATCTATGCTATGAAACAGTGTGGTAGATGTCTTCAGTTTCCCAGCCTGTGTCTGCTTGTGGTGTGCCTGTGTCAGACACAGTGGGCCTTGAAGGAAACTTTGTCACAAACAGGCTTTTAGAAATCAGCTAACCCTTGCCATTTCCCCCAGACCGTTGATCTAATGCAATGTCTACTTTACCTACAAACCAATTCCCAAAAGCAAACCTCTAAGAACCATTTTCTAGCCATCAATACCCTCCATGAAGATCTTATACTTTCACATCATAAATGGAACATAATCAAGGAAATTACCTAGAATGCTCATGAGATTTGTGGGGAGGACCTCCACCAGTTGTCCTGGGAAAAGTATGATGGCATTCATGATCAGTGGCTCCAATGGACTGGACACTGTGACGAACCCTTAATCATTGTCCAAATGTTACCCATACCCCTCTGACTCAGTCTTTTGCCTCAATATTCCCTAACCTGGCAACCGAGTTTTAGCTAATAAAGTTTAAACAGGCCTCCCATACTGCGGCCAGGGAATGTACAGCCCAAGATGCCTATTAAACCTTTTACTCAGCATTCCAGGTAGCATCCCACTCATCAATCACTGCCTCATCTGATTGTCAAGATAGCTGTTTAAACCAGAGAAACATTCCATGGTCAGAATCTTTTTGGATCCAACATGTTCCCAGCAATTTTACACCTTGTGTACAATGGACAATGCTTTCCTTGTCATCCCAAATAGATGCTTGGTGGTATCATAGCACTAACAGTGCCCCTCATTGTGCAAAAGCCTATAGAAATTCCAAGGGTCAGGCCCTTCCCGCCCAGGGTCAGACCCGTCCTGTACAAGCAGCATTCCTGGTTTCCATCAGGATCCCACCATTCTACTCCTTGTTCTTGATCTTTGCACAAATTCTGGGAATTAATAAAGCTACATTGCATTACTGCTCCTACTATAAAAAGCCTAAAATACATATCTAGCACAAACAAAGCAAAACAAGAAACACAAAAACAAATAAAAGGATGACAACAA